GTCGGCGTGCGCGCCTGCCCTGCACTGACCCCTCCATCCCTCCGGCCAGTCCAGCCGCGCCGCGCAGCGCCGCCTCCGCGCACAGGCCACGGGACAGTGCGGCGCGCCGGCGTCCTCTCTCCCGGCACGGGCGCTGGATCTGAGCGCGATGACGCCCACGCCCACGCAGGGCGCTCTTCTGGCGGGGCCTTTGGGCCTCCTCGCTCTTCCCTGGGCCCTTACTACGCCTTACAGGTTTTACGAGTTTGAAACGGATGTTTTGTGATTTTTGTTTCCTTTCTTTTGGGGGAATACTTTGAACGAAGCCTCAACAATTTGTCAAAATTTTCTCGAAAACGGCTTGAAATTTTTTGTTATGTTTTACTTCAGATAGGTGGAAGTACTTGCTACTTCTACACCTACTAGAATAACATGCACCCATTTGTGTATTTGAAGTAAATGAAAATTGGCGATAAACATTCATTTTGTGGACAACGAACGTTATTTCATTTAAAGTAAAGTTACATATTACTGTACTATTAAACGTCAGAAAACGGCTAAAAACCGTTTGGCATATTATGGAGAGAAATATTAAATAAATTGTGTTGTGAAGCAAGTTTCAATAAAGAGATATATATTTATGAGCTCTCAGTACTCTCTTGCACTTTTTATGGTACAAACAAGACACGACACGAAGTGGCGTAGCAAGATAAATATCATACAGCTGCAAACATAATCACAGGAAGCGGCGCGGTGCGTCTTGGCAAGATTCGCATTACTCTGATTTGATTGTTTTAAGCGAATACACACACACGCAATAGTATGGATACGACGTAATAATGTATTATTTTGCCAAGAAGGTAAAGGATAAAATATAGATAGACTAAGAGATCTGTGATTGATTCCCGGTCGGTTTGAATAATTCGTTAAAGAATTTGAATTGGATAGACGACAGAGCTCTGAAGGCTTTATTTATTGATTTAACTTCAAAAAAATAGAAAAACTGTAAATTATATATTCTGGAGAGAAGTGCAATATGTGTGCACTTTCTTGACCTCTGGGTTCTGCGCTTTATCGGAAACATATTGAACTGCATTTTTAATCCAGGTAGCAACGAACATTTAAAGCAAGAATTATTGAAATAAATAATAAAGCAAATCAGTTACATATTTTGGGTATGTGGATTGCTTATTGTGCTCTTCTTGAAGGAATCGACTTACTGACGCCAGAATTTCCGAGCAGGAGTATCGAGCCGGTCACGCAAAACCTAGCGAACCTGCTTGGAAATTCCTATCACTTCATGCAACCGTATCTGACGTTACCTTGATCTCGCAGTTAAGAACAACTTTTCACCTTTCGCCGTTTACGACACATAGTTTTGGTTTTTGTACTACTTTTCTCTCATCTAATGACCTTCCTTCTCTCTTTTGCCGTCTTTTTTCTTCCAAACCTTTCAAGAACACTGCTTTCCCACTGCCGCCTTGCCTACATTGTATATCTTCCCCATCAGCTCTCATTCACGTGTGTTCTTCACCCACACTCCGTCGCTTGGCGCGTCCCTGCCGCCTCGGGCGCTCTCCTCCCGCCCCTCCCCTCTC